GGTGGTGGTGGTCCCTCACAGCTGGTGGTGGTGGTGGTCCCACAGCTGGTGGTGGTGGTCCCTCAACTGGTGTGGTGGTCCCTCAGCTGGTGGTGGTGGTCCTCACAGCTGGTGGTGGTGGTCCCTCACAGCTGGTGGTGGTGGTCCTCACAGCTGGTGGTGGTCCCCACAGCTGGTGGTGGTGGTCCTCAGGGTCCTCACAACTGGTGGTGGTGGTCCCTCACAGCTGGTGGTGGTGGTGGTCCCTCACAGCTGGTGGTGGTGGTCCCTCACAGCTGGTGGTGGTGGTCCTCCAGCTGGTGGTGGTGGTCCTCACAGCTGGTGGTGGTGGTCCCCTACAGCTGGTGGTGGTCCCTCACAGCTGGTGGTGGTGTCCTCACAACTGGTGGTGGTGGTCCTCACAGCTGGTGGTGGTCCCTCACAGCTGGTGGTGGTGGTCCCACAGCTGGTGGTGGTGGTCTCACAGCTGGTGGTGGTCCCTCACAGCTGGTGGTGGTGGTCCCTCACAGCTGGTGGTGGTGGTCCCCACAGCTGGTGGTGGTGGTGGGTCCTCACAGCTGGTGTGGTCCTCAGCTGGTGGTGGTGGTCCTCACAACTGGTGGTGGTCCCTCACAGCTGGTGGTGGGTGGTCCTCACAGCTGGTGGTGGTGGTCCCTCACAGCTGGTGGTGGTGTCCCTCACAGCTGGTGGTGGTCCTCACAGCTGGTGGTGGTGGGTCCCTCACAGCTGGTGGTCCCTCAGCTGGTGGTGGTGGTCCCGCTGGTGGTGGTCCCTCACAGCTGGTGGTGGTGGTCCCTCACAGCTGGTGGTGGTGGTGGTCCTCACAGCGGTGGTGGTGGTCCTCACAGCTGGTGGTGGTCCTCACAGCTGGTGGTGGTGGTCCCTCACAGCTGGTGGTGGTGGTCCCCACAGCTGGTGGTGGTGGTCCCTCACAGCTGGTGGTGGTGGTCCTCACAGGTGGTCCTCACAGCTGGTGGTGGTGGTCCCTCACAGCTGGTGGTGGTCCCTCACAGCTGGTGGTGGTGTCCCCACAGCTGGTGGTGGTGGTCCTCAGCTGGTGGTGGTCCCTCACAGCTGGTGGTGGTGGTGGTCCCTCACAGCTGGTGGTGGTGGTCCTCACAGCTGGTGGTGGTGGTCCTCACAGCTGGTGGTGGTCCCTCACAGCTGGTGGTGGTGGTCCTCAGCTGGTGGTGGTGGTCCTCCTAACAGCTGGTGGTGGTCCCTCACAGCTGGTGGTGGTGGTGGTCCTCACAGCGTGGTGGTGGTGGTCCCTCACAGCTGGTGGTGGTGGTCCTCCTAACAGCTGGTGGTGGTGGTCCTCACAGCTGGTGGTGGTGGTGGTCCCTCACAGCTGGTGGTGGTCCCTCACAGCTGGTGGTGGTGGTCCCTCACAGCTGGTGGTGGTGGTCCCTCACAGCTGGTGGTGGTCCCTCACAGCTGGTGGTGGTGGTCCCTCAGCTGGTGGTGGTCCCCACAGCTGGTGGTGGTGGTCCTCCTAACAGCTGGTGGTGGTCCTCACAGCTGGTGGTGGTGGTGGTACCTCACAGCTTGGTGGTGGTGGTCCTCCTAACAGCTGGTGGTGGGTCCTCACAGCTGGTGGTGGTACCTCACAGCGTGGTGGTGGTGGTCTCTAACAGCTGGTGGTGGAGGTCCCTCACAGCTGGTGGTGGTGATACCTCACAGCTGGTGGTGGTGGTGGTCCCTCCTAACAGCTGGGTACGGTGTTGCAGAGGTTAGAGCGCAGGAAGAGTTTTAATAATAGCAGCTGGCTTGGTGTACAGTAAGGGGCCAGCCAACACTCAAGAGGCCTCTGTCTTATTCATTTCTTTGAGGTTCTGACTGTTAGGTTAGGTTAGGTGCAGATTAACCACCCTACCTCTAACCTAACCATAACCTAACCTTAACCTAACTTCCAGAGAGCGTCAGGGTCGAGTTACAGTGATAATAATCTTCAGGTGAGATAAACAGGAGTCACTTTAACCTGTCTGTGATAGTCTTAACCCGTGATAGTCTTAACCCGTGATAGTCTTAACCCGTGATAGTGTTAACCTGTGATAGTCTTAACCTGTGATAGTCTTAACCCGTGATAGTCTTAACCCGTGATAGCCTTAACCTGTGATAGTCTTAACCCTGATAGTCTTAACCCTGATAGTCTTAACCGTGATAGTGTTAACCCGTGATAGTCTTAACCTGTGATAGTCTAACCCGTGATAGTCTTAAACCCGCTATATAAAACACACACACACACAAGTCTGCAGATAATCATGGGTCAGCCAGAGACGCCATAACTTACGTATAATCTCGTATAATTAGTGACACAAGTTTCTATAATCAGGCGTGTGTAGAGCAGCCTAAACCATCATCAGTTTTAATGAAGAAAATTGATTATGTAAATTTTTTAAGTTGTGACATGATGTTAATTTCTTATCACTATTATTATTATTATTATTATTATTATTATTATTATTACTATTATATTTTTTATTATTTTTTGTTGTTATTTTTATTATCGTTATTATTACACTTCTGTTCGGTATTGTCAAAGTGATCCCAAGGGGCTGACTTGTTAGGCTGCGACTTGTTAGGGCTGACGACTTGTTAGGCAGTAGATACGAACAGTATTAAAAAAATAAATCGGCACTATACTTGATCACCGTCACTTCAATTGGAGAGAGAGAGAGAGAGGAGAGTTTATATGTATGTACGTATGTATGGGTCGTGACGTCAGGATGTACTGTGTAAAAATTGTCCCTATCCCCCCTTGTTGGAGAGAGGACTCATGGCAGCTCCTCTGTTAGTCACTATGGGGGGTGGGGGTTATCTGCTGTGGTGGTCGACCTCACCATTGCCTCTCACTGTCACTACTGCCCCCTCCTCACACACTCACTTCTGCCCTCCTCACACACCTCACTGCTGCCCCCTCAACACACCCCACTACTGCCCCCTCACACACTCACCACCTGCCCCTCCCCACACTCACCACTGCCCCCTCCTCACACACACCTCACACTCGCCTCCTCACACCTCACCACTCCCCTCCTCACCACCTCACTCACTGCCCTCCCCACACCACCACTGCCCCTCCCCACACCCCTCACCACTGCCCCCTCACACACCACCACCTGCCCCTCCTCACACCTCACCACTGCCCCTCCCCACACACCTCACCACTGCCCCTCCACACCCACCTCACCTGTCCTCCCCACACCCTCACCCACTGCCCCCCACCTCACCACACTGCCCCTCCCCACACACCCACCACTCCGCCCTGCCCCACACTCCCCACCACTGCCCCCCCTCACACCTCACCACTGCCCCTCTACACACCACTGCCCCCCTCTCACACTCCACTGCTGCCCCTCTCACACACTCACTACTCTGCCCCTCCTCCACACTCTCCACTGCCCCTCTCACACTCTCCCTCTGCCCTCTCCACACTCTCACTACTGCCCCTCTCACACACCTCACTACTGCCCTCTCACACACTCACTACTGCCCCTCTCACACACTCACTACCCTCACACACTCACTGCCCCTCTCACACACTCACTACTGCCCCTCTCACCCTCCTACTGCCCTCTCACACACTCACTACTGCCCTCTCACCTCACTACTTCCCTCTCCCCTCACTACTGCCCTCTCACCTCACTACCTCTCTCCCCTGCCCTCTCCACACTCCTACTGCCCTCTCTCCTCTGCCCTCCCTCACACACTCACTACTGCCCTCTCCTCCTACTGCCCCTCTCCCTCACTGCCCCTCTCCCACACACTCACTACTGCCCCTCTCACTCACTACTGCCCTCTCCACACTCCACTGCCTCTCCCCCTCACTGCCCTCTCACACTCTACTTCCCCTCTCACCACACTCACCTGCCCTCTCCCTCACTACTGCCCTCTCCACTCACTACTGCCCTCTCTCACTACTGCCCCTCTCCCACCTCCCTCTGCCCTCTCACACTCTCACTGCCCTCCTCACACACTCTCCACTACTGCCCCTCTCCCCACTCCCTGCCCTCCCTCACTACTGCCCTCTACCTCCCCTACTTCCCTCTCACACCTCACTACTTCCCTCTCCCTCTACTGCCCTCTCCACACTCACTGCCCTCTCACACTCACTACTGCCCCTCACACCTCCTACTGCCCCTCTCACACCTCACTACTGCCCTCTCACACCTCCCCACACCCCTCTCACACACTCACCTGCCCTCTCACACCTCCCCACTGCCCCCTCTCTCACACACCTCACCTCACCTCCCCACTACTTCCCTCTCATCACACTCACTACTGCTCCCTCTCCCTCACTACTGCTCCTCTCTCACCTCACTACTGCCTCTCACCTCTCCCTACTGCTCCTCTCCCTCACTACTGCCCCTCTCCCACTCTGCCCTCTCACACACTCCCTCCTCACTACTGCCCTCCACACACTCACTACTGCCCTCTCACCTCCTACTGCCCCTCCTTTCCTCCCTCCCCTCTCACGCTCAACTGATTCTCCAACTCTCACACTCGGTAATACCTTTCCCTTCCTTCCCATATCCTTTTCTCTTCCCTCTCCCCTTCCTCCCTCTCCCCTTACCTCCCTCTCCCCTTACCTCCCTCTCTCCTTATCCCCTCTCTCCTTACCTCCCTCTCCCCCTTACCTCCCCTCTCTCTACCCCCTCTCCCTTACCTCCCCTTTCCCTTCCCTCCCTCCCTCTCCCTCTACCACTTCCAGACTCCCCTTACCTCCCTCTCCTTTTCCATCCCCCTTCTCTCCCCTCTCCTCCCCCTTCCCGTCTCCTCCTCTTTCCTTCCCTCCTCTTCCTCCTCCTTCTTTCCCCTCCCTCTACTTTTCCTACTCCCCATCCCCGCCTCCCTGCTCCTCCTCCTTCCCTCTCCTCCTTCATTTCCTCCTTTCTCTTACCTCATTTTTCCCACCCCACCCCACCCCACCCCTCCCTCCCCCGGCAGGCACTATGGATGCCAGCTGTAGTGAGCGAGCCACCCAGTGTTGCCTCAGCCGCCGTGCCAGCCACTCTCCCTGGCTCTAAATCCAGCCTCTCCCTCTCTCCCTGCTCCTGGCTCCTCACTCGCGTCTGGCCTCACCTCTCACTCTCCTCTCATCCTCGTGCGACACTCATTGATAGCGTGTAAAGGAGTCCCCCGGCAGGAAGTGATCGAGGAGGTGCTGCTGACGTTTCGGTGGTTGGAGCGCTGTGGGGCGTGTGAGAGGGGCGTGTTGTGTGGTGTTGGGAGAGTGGGAAGTGATGAGGACAGTGATGTGATGAGACCTATGGAGTGAGTGATGGGGTAACAAAAATAGTCTCAAAGTTTGGAGAGTAGTGATCGAGGAGAGGATGTAGTGAGTGGGTGAGGAGGAGGTGGAGGAGGAAGAGGTCTGGAGTAAAGAGTGTGTACGACTGATAATGTAGTGTGAGATAATGAGTAAAACATACGACAGGAATAAAGGGATGAGAGAAAAATAGAGAGAGGAAAGAGAGAGAGAGAGAGAGAGAGAGAGAGTGTGTGTGTGAGGGAGCGTGAGGCCGAATATCGACGGAGGCCGGGGGTGCCGCTGGCCGCAAGTACTCCTAGTTACGACTCACAACAAAAACGTTATTGAAGCGGATATTACTCCCCTGTGTACCCTCCCCACGTACCTCCCTCCCCCCCACCACGTACTGGGTAGCTGTGTAATGGTCGTCGGGAAGACAATAACGTAGGAATCGATCAATAGTTAATAGATCAAGAGTGTCTTTTAAGTGTTATTGAAGTGTTGACATAAGTGTGTGTGTGTGTGAAGAGAAAGATTGTGGCATCTCCCAGGAAGTGAGCATAGAGTGTTAAGTGTTGCGTTGGTTGTTTGGTTGTGTGAGGAGGAGTTGGTTGGGTGGTTGGTGAGGCGTGTAAACAACGTGGCGTGGTGTTAGGGGCGGCATCAACAGGTTTAGTGGAGGTGGCGGCGGCGTCGTAGGGTCAGCTGATTGGTGTTGGCGGTGGTGACGTCCTGCCTCGCCCACCTCTCACTGTCTCCTACCTCCACGCCCTCACTCACCTCTCACCCACGCCTGCCTCTCTACCGTCACCCCATTTCTCATCACTTATCTCTCACCCTCGCCACTCACCAGCTTCCCCAGGGACCTCCCCTCCCGGATAATGCCAGAGGCTGTGTTTCCCCGCCTGCCATATGTGGAGGAGTGAGAGCGGTAGGAGTGTGTGTACAGCGAAGATGACGACCAGAGGGCCACAGTGTGCACACTTCTCCACCGTCAGTCGGCCGCGCCCCTGGCCACCCACTTCTGCAGTAGCAGACACCAGCTAGTGTCCCACTATGAGGAACATCACTACCCCCTGAGCTCCTCCCCCCTCCTCCCCCTTGCCTCCTCCCATCCCTCCTCCTCCCGGTTTATGCTGGACGTCCTTCTGTCTCACCTCCTGCCGGGGAGCTGTACTGGTTACCACTTTCCACCTCTCCTGCTTCTCCCGGTTGATGGTCGAGGCCCTCCCACCTCCCGTCTTCCTCCGGTTGGTGCTACATGATGGCGTCAGGGTCTCCTCCTCCCCACCAGCAGGAACACCACCACGAGAGGCCACCACCAAGCCTCGACCCTCACCTCCTCCATGGGTAAGACGGTAGATCTCACTATCCACCCGTCCCCCCTTCTTCCCCCTCTCCGCCCAACACGAGGAAAACGAGGTCATTTGTCTTAGTTCATTACGCAATAACCTTAAGTCTTAATGATCAAGGTGATAAGCAGGTGCATGTTAACTCTCCATTACCCCTTTCATTAATTCTCTCTCAGTCAATTATAGATTTTTTACGCCAACATGTAAACTTAACGATCATTATAACACCAAGTAATTTTTTGTGTATTTTATGATTATAGAAGTGATGACCCAACAGCCTCTCCACTATTCTGAGGTCTTAAGTGGTAATTTTTTTGGGGGGGTTCAGAGTGACACGATACTGTTGTAAGAGTTGTGTTACGTTTCAGAGACAATTTTATCATGTCAATCTTCAACCCGTGTAATGAGAAGATATACCTGTGTGTGTGTGTGTGTGTGTGTGTGTCAGTCAGTCAGTCGGTCATTTTATAGTCCATTAAAAGAAATGAAATCTGGGGGTAAATGTCCGTAGACTTTCGATACCGCCGCGATACACAGCTGGCGTTGTGTTATTGTATCGTACCTCGCCTGTCATATTATCGTTTCACACTTAAGGTATTATCATTCAGTGTATGTTTACTACCGTTGTATCTCCTTGGTGGTATTTACATCTGTATATCAAGCAAAAATATGGTCTTTTATTATTATTGTTTTTGTCGATATTGATCATTATTTTTTTGTCAATACATATATACAAGAACTGAAGACTGTATAACAATTCCAAGTCGGTTAAAGCACACGTAAGTATTTATTTTTTTTCCGAACTGGTTAATGCTACTCTATCATAACATTATCCTTTACTATTATTCTCAACTGTGGAAATACATTAACAAAAAAACATTATCTTCACTCTAC